GGGCATTGCCACCGACTATCGTGGAGCGAACTCCCCTGAATCGGGGAGGAGACCGTGCGAACTGAATCGCGTAGCCGAATCTGATCGTTCTGATGACCCAGCGGGATACCCCGGGAAGCGCTAGCCAGGCTTCCAGGAAGTGAACCAACGGGGTCATGTGAACCACAGACGTCCCCCCGGAGGGGCAGCGTGGCGGGTCGACTGGCACGCGTGCAGGAGTTACCCCGCTCGGATGCGTCGAAGCCCGCTCCCCGACAGAAGGGACCAGGGAAAGCGGAGCGTTCCACGGGGGTCCGTTCTGCCGGGGGTCTGGCGAGAGAGGGGGAAGGGATTGGTGTAGCCCGGGGACGACACACGCACCCTTCCGCGCCCTCCGAGACAGAGAGGAGTGAGTGGGCCGACACACTGGGGCATCGGGGGCACTCACTCCAGTCTGTGAGCTCAGTGAGGATGTCAAGTCTTTCTTTAACCAGTTCAGGGTGCTGCCCACCCGTGGGTGAGCAGCGGGGAGCTGAGAACAAAAGATTCTCCCCCGGCCCTCCACCGGGGGAAGGAGGGGGCCTGCTACCGCCTCCTGGGAAAGACTCGAGATCGACACTGAGCCGCCCGTGTCAGGATCTTCGCTTGGCCTGGCGTTTAGCGGGGCGAGCGGCCTGAGGGGGCTGTGACGCCGGCCTGCGGCCTCCTCGACGCCGGGGCCGGGTGAAGGCTGCTGCTGGGGCCGGGCGGGAGGGAGGGGAGCCGCAGGGGGGCGTCCTCGGCGGCGAGCAGGGGGAGGCACCTGTGCCGACGACTGGGTGGAGGCAGCAGCTGGTCGTCGGGGCAGGATGTGTTTGATGGCCTCCGTCTGCTTCTGGGCAGTGGAGAACTGTTGGGCGAAGTCCTCGACCGCACCGCCGAAAAGGCCAACCTGGGATAGCGGAGCGTCGAGCAGACGAGTCCGCTCAGCGCTCCGCGTATCCGCCAGGTTGAGCCACAGATGACGCTCCTGAACCACGCTAGTGGCCATCACCTGACCAACGGCGCGAGCAGCCACTTTCGTTGCCCGGAGAGCAAGGTCAGTGGCGGACCGCAGTTCTTTGAATGCCGTCGGATCAGTCCCGCCCTCGTGCATGTCTCTGAGCAACTTCGCTTGGAAGACCTGCAAAGTGGTCATAGCATGCAGAGCGGAGGCCGCCTGTCCCGCCGCTCTGTAGGATCGCGCCGCCATAGCAGACGAGAACCCACAGGCTTTGGATGGGTGCTTAGGAGGACCACGGGTGGAAGCGCTCTGTGGACACAGCTACATCGCAACAGAGCGCTCCACCGGGGGCATCCCAGTGTACCCACGGGCGGCCCCGCCGTCGAGGGGGGGAAAGGCGGGGGAGAGATCGCGCTCTCGAGTGGACAAAGGAGCCCCCCAAGAGCGCGATAACTCCGCATGCAGCTCGGGGAAAAAAGCTATTGGAGTCGGCCGTGGCTTTGCAGCGGCAGCCTTGTCCAAAAACCAATTATCCATCCGTGAGAGGTCGGGGCAGGATGGAGGTTTCCATTCTAGCCCGATACTCCCAGCGGCTCGAGACAGCATGGCCGTCATCTCGGGATCTGACGCGGACAACGCTGGGACTCCCGAAGGAGGCAACGCAGCCGGATCTTCCTCTCCCGAGGAATCAAGCCCGCCTAGTGATGCTGTGATAGACATCGCATCATCATCTGGGGCGCTGCTCGAAGCAGCCGGTGCCGCCGAAGAGACAACCGACCGAGTCGAACTAGCGCCCGCTGGCTCACGCACTGAGGCGGGAGGTGTGGCCCGAGGAATCGTCGGGGCTTTATCCCACACCGTCACCGTTAGATCGCCCGGTCCCCGGGTCGACGGGCCCCCTTTCGTGAAGGAAGCCGATCGAGTAGGGGGGACCGGGGCTCTCACTCTAGTGAGATCATTGAGCCGCGACCTCAGTGTGGAGATGGTCATGGTCCCACAGAAGGAACATGAGTCATCCACGAACGCTGCTGCTGCATGCTGAATGCCCAAGCAAACAAAGCAGCGTTCGTGACCATCAGATGACGACAGAAATCTACCACATCCAGAAGGGCACGGGCGAGCCATCTTTAAAAAGACGTGCTGCGTGCAGCTCTTTTACAGAGAGGAGAGAAATTCACTCTTTCAGCGCTGAGGCTACCAGGGAGAAGCGCAAAGTCTGGCAAACCACTGCACAGATCGCAGGCAATGCAGAATCTCGCTGGGTACCGCCGTCACACCAACACTGAAGAGGACGCTCGTCTCGAAGAGTCTTGAATCAGCTTTGAGGAGTGAAGAGGTTCTCTTGGCTCCGAAGCGAAAACATACTGCGGTTGCGTTCACTTCCTCCTTTTATACTCACGGAGTAGGGCGGAGTACGCTATGCAAATTTCCGCAGCCCCAAGGCATTGCATGCCATTGGCTCGTGTTTAAATACTCGAAGAGGATTGGCTTTCTATGCGAAATCCCCCAATCTCCGTCACTTCTGACGTAACTCGAAGTGACTACGAAAGGGAACTGGTGTTTTCTGCGTCGCTGCAAAGATGAAGCTGACGATGCGGACTCACCATGAACGAATAAAGATATAAAGGCATAAAAATAGGAAAATTTCCTCCCGTTGGCGCACCACCTGTTACGTTTCGGCAACTACCATCTGTAGTTAGGGGGCCCCCTGGTGGCGGCGGGGCCCTAAGCAGCCGCTTAGTTCGCTCATAGGGAGAGCCGGCTCTGATAATCATCATTTGACTTGAACCACTAAACATCATTTACATTTAGCAGATGCTTTTAACCAAAGTGACTTACAACTAGGGCTGGGCGATATATTGCATGACATTATGCGCATCTCGTCAGTAAAGCCGGTTCCTTGATTAGTAGTAAATCGCCTTCACCTGCTTTCAGATGGAGCGGCATTTACTACAAAGAGCCGTTGTTCCTTGAAAGATCCCTTTAACCCTTTCACGCATACGATCACACCGGTGTGATTAGAACGGTCAGTGCTTCACGTCATCAACTGCTAAATTCAAACTTGCTCTCGCGCGTTGGCTGAGCCAGAGACGGACGCACACAGTGCTGTCATATATCACAACTATTGAGTGTTTTTAACCACATAATGTTTATTTTAGGTTTCAGACATTTAAATACACATAAGTACTAGCAAAACAATGATTTTGAGTTTGTAAAATACACACTGATGTCTATGGAAGCTGCAATAATAATCCTTTCAATTATAATAAGACGACACGTTTTATTTATATCAGAGACACATTTTGTAAGTAGCTTAACATATGACCCTAATCTTCTCCCAGTTCACCAGCCTCTTACTTTCATGTATTTCGTGAGAAGTTGAGGAATTGACGTTGTAAATCCAACAGATCCGATTTCCTGAACTGTAAAACAAACTAAAATGGCACCGCCCATTGTGCATACAGCTCAAATAACGCGATCGTTATAAAGATGTTTAAACAACAAAACCCATCCACTTGCACATATTTGACAATCCGAATATCAGGGTTTCATGCTATAGCTAATACATTTGTGAATATTTTTAATAAAAAAGGAAAAATTACATAAAAGCAGATCCTCATTCATTCTGCGCTTTGTTTTGGTTGTGGTGTGTCACGTGACAAGCAATGACGCGTCACCATGGAAACATTAAAGTGGCAAGTTCTAAATAACGGTCGCCTTGAAAAACTCACGCTGGGGTTCAGTTAGAATATTTTAAACTTACGTGAGAAAGGGTTAAGTGATCAATTGAGTGATGATTGAGCATTATTGAAGACACCTAAAGCAGAATCACTGACGGAGAATATCTGAAATTGTAAGTCTTCATGGAACACTGAAAAAGTCGAAGCAAATGTGCCGTATTGTGTCAAGGTTTTCGAAACAATCCAACACCCGTCTCCACAGTGACCCCTAGTGGTCAAAACAGTGTAACGTAAAAACCCGGGCCAAACATGCATAAAAATACCTTTTACAAATTGCTTTTTCTTTTTTTTTTAAAGTAAAATATTTTAAATGCAATTATCTAAACCTCTAAAAAGATAATAAAGTGTCTATATGTTCTTTGATCAATTGTCAGGGTTTGTTTTGTTAGCTCTATGAATGGATCAGCTAAACAGACCAAGAGACAATGAACTATTATTATTTTTTTGAATTATAAAACTGATCAGAGATCAGGTAAAACCCACAGACACTTTTTCATTGGTTCTCACTGACTCAGCGGTCAAACTTTGAAATTAAATTTAATCAAAGATTACAAAGCTTCATGAAGCAGTATTTTGAAATTGCCGTCACTACCGTAACTGTGACTTTATAAAAATGTTTGTGTGCATGATGTGTTTAAAGAAATTATTAATTGCAACTGATTATTGTTTTGCTATGTGTGTGTGTTTGTCAAAGCAAATGTGGCTAGCAAAAACCCATTTAATGCAGTTAGAAACATAACTGATGTAAAAAAGTCAAGGGTCAAGAGCACAACTAAAGTAAACACTGATCTCCACAATGGTGACATCAAACCAAACATTTTAAATAAAACGTCTCAATAAGAACATCTGAAGATGCATGACAAAAAAAAAACATACTTATGACATACTTATTAATAATATGTGTAATAATGTGTAATGGCTGGTCAGTTGTAGTTCTTGTGTTTTTGCTAGTCTCTTTTCTTTTCTGTTCTTGTTCCTATTTCCTTCAGTGATTCTGCTTGTTAAGAGCATGTGTTCATCACTAATGTGTTTTAATTTGTTCATCACTAATGTGTTCTAAAGGTGTTCATCACAACAATCACTTACATATTCATTTAAATATCTCGCTGCAGCACTGCGTCAATGATACTTTTACTCTTTCTACTGTGGACACCACAGAATTTTCCTGTGGGGTTTAAAGGGTTAACAGTGTAAGGTGAAAAGACACACCCACAAAGTCTTACACACAATTCGAACATCAACAACAAAATACCAGGGGTGTATTTTCAGAGGCATTATGTATTTTGCTGTCTTCACAGGGGTTTACTGCAGTGGGATTTTCTGTCTAATTGGCATCAGCATTTTGGAGACCATCATTGTGAATTATCTGATGGCTAAAGGATCTGAGAGCAGATCAGCAGTGGAAAATACAGATGCTGCTACTGGATGCGATGGTAAGAATCTACACAGCTATCATCAATTCCCAATCGAAGAATTGTATATGAGATGATACTGACAACAATAATTATTGATCCACGGTCATGCTTTGTTTTTCTTCTCATAGACGGTGTGAGAGACCTGCAGAGCCCTCCAGACTCAGTTATAGATCAGAACGAGATGCAGAGAAGCTTCAGCTGGACCAGAGTGGCAAGAATCACAGATGTGACCTTCTTGGTTCTTTACATAATCACCATTATTGTGTTTCTGTCTGTGCTTGGGAAGCTTTGGGTTGTAGAATCGTATTAAATACAGTACATGAGATAACACATAACCCAGTCAACACTTTGATCTCACAGTGATCTCTCCATATTATGGCCACAATGAGTGAAGCGACTAAAAAGTAACAGAAAATAGCAGAAAAAAAATATTACCGCTTTTTCAAATTGCTTATATACAATTTCTGAAACTACCACTAAATTTCTTAAAACAGACACAAAACTATAAAACATGCACATGACATGCAAAACATCATACATCTCTTGCAAAAGCAAACACATAATTTAAAACTATTTTAATTCATCCAAAAATGATGTTTTTGCTCAGTAACTCTACACACAAACATAAAATGATTTGCCACATACACACAGTTGTGAAAAATGTAAAGCTCTCTTGTGTCTTTTGCTTGTTTGGTATGTGGTGGGCTGTACAGGAGTTTGTCACACGTACATATATGTGCACAAATACACTGTGCAGTATGTACACACAATTGATGAATGTTTCAGTTATTAGAAAAAAGGGTTCAATATATGTATCATTGGGTTCTTTACTCAACTCCAACGGACATTTTATGCTAAAAATTGTTCTATAATGACAAGAAAGAACACTTTTGGCACAAGGGTTCTTTAAAGGCTATTATTCATTCATATATTACATTATTCTGCAACATTTTGTAGTTGTTATTAAATTATTATAAATATATATTATAAACTGTTGTAGTAACTTAATATCACATTTTAATCATGCAGATTTTTGGAGGATAAATACTAAAATGGCACTCTTTGTGTGATATTGATTAATTACATTTTTTAACCACCATATCTTGAATTTTGTGATCATTCATGCATTGCATTTTAGGGGTTCCAAATATATAGAATATATAGATATAGAACCTTTTCTTCTAAGAGTGTATACTGAATCAACACTGTGACTTGAGCTGATGAATGACACTTTTGGCTTGTAGCTGCTGTTCAGTAGAATTTGAATTTGTTTCTGTTGTTAAAACAATCGGTATTGTATAACGCTATAGAAATAATGGTGATGAATTACCAATATGTGTATAATCAAGATATATTTACAAAATAAATAGAAATGCAAGGGTGAAAAATGTATTTGTTTGTTGTTTTGATTTCTAAGTGTTTTTTTTTAAACTGCTTACACACTAAAAGTGGAACTTGAGGCTCACTCAGTAAAACCATTCACACATTTTCAGACCAAGTCTGCAAAACTGCAAACTGTAATGACTCAGTGGGGCGAGATTGATCCATATGCAACGAGTTCATTAAACAGAAAAGTCAGGGTAAACTCAGGATAATAATAATAGGAGGCAGACTGAGACGTGAGTCGAACCGGGCAGGAGGTTCAGGAACTTTCAGTATCCTGGGACAGCCTTAGTGCCGAGGTGGGCGGCAGAGAATCAGAATCCGGGACGGGCAGGAGGTATGCTGCGGACAATCAGACAAGGTTATTTCAGCTTGGGTCAGAGGAATCAGATAGGCCGAGGAATAGGAGAATTGGTTACTGCCTTTTTTCTTTGCATGATTGTGTTTATGGGGTGCAATATAACATGTATTTGTGGTTTTTCTTTTTTAAAAAGTCTTATTTTTCATAAATTTCACCTTTATTGTCAGCCGCGTTCACCTCTATCCTCAAACGAGCGGTCGACTTCCTGAGTCTATGAAACCACTCCCTCAGAAACACGCAGTGGCCTCAGATTGGTTAGTTTGGGCCGGTGTGTTGTGATTGGCTAAACTGTTGCTCACGTTGTACGGAAGGTTAACGCCCATTACCTTTACAGGCGAAACGTGCATGTCATAAGCTCCGGTCCAGATGTAAATAATGGTGTGGAACTGCAGTATCAGTTTGAGGCAGAATCAGACCCAGAAAGCGGCGATGAAGAGAGGCAAGCAGAACCTCACCACACACGGCTCTTACTAAACGTTTCTGAATGATAATTTGCCTATATTTTTTAAAACTTTATACACGTTTGTTTTACACTGACTGGCTACTAACGTGGTATACACAAACATCGTTGGCATTGGTTTACGTTCTTGATCAAATCGAAAATTAACGTCATAAAGCATATATACATGAAAATACATTTACAAAATTAGTACTTATAAAAAAATTCAGGTCCATATTGTTTGTACGCGTTTGTCGTAGACACAAAATAGCATAACTAGTAGCCTAGTGGCTATAAAGCCAGTGCTGGCATTTGAAAAAAATAAAACACAAGGCTACGTCTGAAATTATACATGCAAATACATTTAAAATGATGAAGTCTAAGCCTACTTACAGGTTGTGGCCCAACAACTGCTGCCTCTAGTTTTAAAGTTGGAACTGCTTCATGTTTTAGTAACAGTTTCTTGTTGAATCCGGTGTTGAACTCGTGGAGATTGTTTGTTTTCAAAACTGTTCATTCACAGTAAAACCATTTTTTTACAGTAAATGTGTACTGTGCTGTAGGTTTTACAAGACATTTCTGAGAGTGCAGTTAGACACAAGAGAAGTCCAACTGTCAAATTACTTAGAAAGTATACAATTATTAAAGCTCGACGACGCCTCCCCCTGGTTGCACCAGATCTCTCTCTCCTGCGTCCTCTCTCTCTCCTTAGGACTGCATTTCCCATTATCCTCAACATTCTTCCCTGCGCTCATTATCTCCTGAATAATCCCCTTATCATTGCATTAGTATCACCTGTGCCTCAGGTCCCCTTTATCTGGACCGTTCTGTTCATTGTATTTTTGTGAAGACTGCTCCTGCTGTAAACAAACAAACCTTTTTTTATTTATTTATTTTTCATTTTTCCTTGGTTGGAACATATTTGTATTTATTTCAAATAATTCATATATATTGCCAAATGACCATGGCAAGTGGAATTTGTTTGTTGATTCAATGCCATTTATAACTTTCATGAATTGATTACAATTGATTTCCCTGAAGCAATGTGGGCTTAAGTGTCTCGCTCAAGGGCAAGATCTTCATTGAATTGCCAAACAACATGACTCCTCGCAGGTCATATTCTATGTAAAGATCCATCACTATAGGGTGGGTGACAGCTGTATTGACAGAGTTTTACTTTATTTTAAAACTATTATTTTTTTTATTATTTTTTAGACATTTCTTGGAGGTAAAAAGGTTGTAAACCATGTTTGTCCTTTTGCCTTTGAGCAAAAATATCTGTGGAGAATGTACTGTCCCCATGAGGTACACAGCGTGGCTTTGAAAATAGCAATAATGATAATAATGAAAATAACACCATCAATAAACATAACCAACAACATCTGATCACCTTTTCTCTTTGTTCATCTGACTGTAAAAATTCAATTACAACTGCCCAACAAAAGCAAACACTGATCACCATAATGGTGACTAAAATATAGATTTTCTCCTTCAGTGATTCTGCTTGTTAACATCAGGTGTCTTCGAAGACTTAGTTATGTCATTAACTTTAACACTCTTGAGTCTGGATCCAAATATACTCCCAGGAGAGTTCATTTAACACTGGAGTTTTTGATTTTTGATTTGGACTTTTACTTTCTGACCCTGGACTTTCTGACCCTCTTACTGGGAGAGCCTCGATGGTAAAAAACATGAACACACAGTGATTCGGAGAGGAAGAGCCCCCACAGTGCCGAACGGAAAGCTCACAATGCAATTCGACCGGGAGGGCTCCCGCTGCGTTTTGAAGGAGAGAGACCCCCAATTTGTAAATGTATAAATAGGAAGTTCACTCTGCAATTAAAACAGGAGAGCCTACATTGTAAGATGCAAAATGGTCGAAGCATTTTTATTTATTTGGTGTTCGGGTAGGCCCTTCTGTGCTGCTGTGGTGGCTGCCCCTATGATTAAGGAGTGGAAAGAGAATGTTAGGTTGGGATGTCGGAACTGTTGAGGACTGATTTTTTGTTTGACGGAAGTTCTTTTGGAACCGATAACTGGAGGCAGGGAGATTTTTATCATCAATAAAAAGAGGGTCGAGAGGAGAGGTAATTTGGGATTTCCTCTGGTGAAGAAAAGGGGCTATGGGCTGATATGGTTGAATGGGGGTTGGTAAACTGAAAATGAAAATTGAATGACCATTTCAATTGATCGATTTTTGATCTTTTTTGATGTTGAAACCCATGGGGTCATGGTTTAAACTTGAAGGTCAGAGATTGTAGGATGTATGGTATGGAGACAACGTTGATGGATGGACTCAAGCAGTTGGATGTGCTTTCTGGACTGGACCCATGACTCAGAAACATACAGTAGAGTGCAGAGGACAATTGCCTTGTGAACTTGGATCTTAGTTAGCAGGCACAGTGACCAGTTCCTCCAGAGACACATTTTTGTAGGTGGCCGAAGGAGCTAGCCTTGTTAAAACCAGACCATTCTCAGTTGTAACTGAGATATGGTCTGGCAAAGCGTCATAGACAAATCATTTCCAGAGGGGCGTCACCACCGGACGTCGTGGGTGGACCTAAAACCAATCAGAGCGATGAAGGAGATGATGTTTTCAGAGCGGCGGCTCCGAGTGTTGTTCTTTGCTCGGTTTTTAACAAAGAAAAAAACATTCAAATCGCTTAAAAACAGACGCGATAGCTGATTCGAGCGAGTTAGGTTCGACCATCTTTGTAATGTAGGCTACAAAATCTGCTTCAAAATCCCAGCGCTGTCATCATAGTGTAAAGCCCGCTCTAACGTTTCTGATTGGTGCCGCGATTTCTGCGGACTGGAAATGGGTTTGAATGAGCTCTTTGTCAGACTAACTTTTAGAGCAAATCTAAATTTGCCGGAAGTTGTCTGGGTTTTCCCAGGCTACGAAGGAGCTACAGGCTTTGGCAATTCGGTGGTCCACCTCTTTGGATATTGTTGCAATCACTTGAAATAACACGTGGATTATAGTTAAATACAGTAGGTGTCTTTTGATAACTTCTGGTACATAACTTCCGTTTTCTTCAGGCTTATAGTCAGACCAAATTCGTCCAAAACCTTACGGAAATGCAGAATAATTTGAATAATTTTATCTGACTCCAATTATAAGTGATTTTTTAGTTTTTATTTTAGCAGTTGATAATCAGATTAGTTGTGGATACTGTTGTTGTTGTTTTTTCTATGGAGTTTTTAAACCATAGTCAAAGGTTTCTTGAGCAAGTCTTCTTTAACCTGTTGATTTTTGTTCATGGTATTCAGCTAAATTGAAATGTTTTTCAATAAGTTTTAAAATAAATGTGAATGATTTAAAAAAAAAATTGCCTTATTGGAATCGAAATAAGAAATCGTTAATAATCGGAATTGATAAGTAGAATCAGAATCGAATTGTTAAAATTCAAACGATATCCAACCCAAGTAATCGGACTGACTGCCCAATCGAACTGAAAAGCCTTCATGTAAAACCTTATTGAGTTCATATAGAGCTCAATCCGAAATGCCCCGTTTACACGAAGGGTAGGACAAGGAAGCATTTGTTTGAATACTATGTGTAAATGTGGCCTAAATTTCAAATGGGGTGGGATCAGAATTTCAAATCAGATAGGGGGATTTAGACCTTTTCTAAATTCTATTCTGATTGAAAGGACATGTAAACACT